TCTAGTGAATGCAACCACAATTCTGCACATTATTTTAGCATGTGTTTGACAGAAAACATCTCAATGCTTGCTCCATTGATTTTTCTGCTGTTGGCTGCAGCTTCTGTTCCTCTCTTAGTATTAAAAAGTCCTTGCAGATGGGCACTTGATTTAACTGACTTTCTTGTATTTCCTTGTGGTGACTATTCACGGTGGGAATCACTGGCCTGATATCTGTTGTTTAGACATTCATATGTTAGAAAAGGGCACGCTGAGAGAGCTTCTGTTGCATGTAAAATTGCATGTGATGCAGAAAATTAGGAGTGATTTACTAATTAACAAGAAGTAAAGTAATATTTCATTAAGCATAGCTAGAACAGCACCAGAGAAGAGAAGAGAACCAAGGTACATTTAATTATTTGGAATTTTTATTCTGTAGTATTCTGTATCACTTTTATATATAGCGATATATATAGTGAAGGATAGTACCAGCAAGTAATAGGCAAAAATGTCCCTTTTCACTTCTTATTACTGATGAACTAGTTGTCAGGAGTTTTCTCAGGGAACATCCTACAGACATTCTTCCATGCTTGATGTTGGATTACAGTTTGCTGCTAGGGAATAAGGAAAACTAATCCAGAAATCCTAGACAGAGCTTACAGATATTTTCTCCCCAACATTTTTTACTTGCTTTCCCTTCCCTAAGCTACTAAAAAAATAACAAGATGTGGTTTAAATTAGGTCTTCTAGCAGTTTCTGACAAAATACATATATACTGAGGATATGAGAGCCTGGAGGATAGATTACATATTTCCTGCTAGTCTGATGAGGCAAGTGGTGAGTGGTATCTCGATCTATTTGTGTTAACCACTTCCAACATGTTGGTTGCCGGCAGCAGCAAGTCCATTTGTGTTAAGGAACAGATACTACAAGGCTCAAAGGGGAACTGCGATGTTTTGTTAGCCTGACCAGTGACTCTGCTTTATTTTATCAGAAACTCTGATTATTTGCAGTCATCAGAGGTCAGATGCAAAATTTATATCCTTCTATTTTGGCTATTGCAATGCAAATGACCGTGAAAGTGGCAAGATTGCTAAAAAAAGGTCTGCCTTCGTTTTTACAATCAGCACCTAATTCACATAACCATTTGCAGTTATTTTCAGCTTGGACAATACCTCTGTGCATGTGGGGGTGTGTGCACAGAAACTCCATGAAAACATTTCCCTCTCAGTAACTTGGAGCAAGGAGTTTGTACGCATTCCTTGTACATTCCTACAGAGCCATGGAATCCAAAGCATATTTGAACCTTTTTTGATTCCAGCAATCCATTTTATATGCTGAACTCGCTAAATCATTGCTTCAATGCACCCTCTTTGTCACATGCTACTGATTTTACTGCTACCATTGCTGCTCTCTCAAGTGACCAATCTTGCTTCACAGGGTGGGGTGTCGAAAATCAATTTCAGCACCTCTAACAGGGGATTAATTTGTCATGACTTCAGTAAGCACTCTTAGTTGTATATGGCATTGATTCCCTTCACCAGATCAAAGGTGTGGGGCCTTAGAATGCTCTTATGAAGGAAAAAGAGAAAGTGGTGAAGAATATTTTCTTTGTGATACACTGCAGCTGTCTCTTTTACATTTAAGTTTGCCTGTATGCAAGGGCAACTCTTTTGGAGCCTGTTAAAGCACATGAATATGCTGTTGCTGCACTAGGCTTTTAACTGCTCATTTTGAACTGTCTGATTTAAAATTGCACACATAATGTCATGTGTTAACTTAAATGGGAAGTGGAAGTATTTTACTTCTAATTTATTTTTCAGTGGAATAAAAAATATTACTGATCAACCGATACAGTTTTGGGAGCACAAAAATGATTTGCAAAAGGAACCTTAGGTCCACTAGAGCAAATCTATTAGAAAAGTGTCAGATTAATGAATTTTGAGGAGGGTATGAATAAGAACCAGCGAGCTGGGAAAACAAAATGGATAAAGTATTTAAATAATGCAGCCCTGTACCATCTGTGAAATTTTCCTGTTGTGTATCTACATATTAGCACAAATGTTCATTTGTCCTAAGTCTAATCACAGCTTTACTGCTTTCCTGAAATACTGCTTATTTTCTTTCATGGTAACATGTAACTGAGATGTTATTGTATGATTTTTATACTTTTTCCTTTTAGATCTAGCCATTGGATCTCTGTCTTGATTATATATACAACTAGCATATATATTTATTTTCTTTAATTTTCTACCGGGCAAGCTTCATAGGATTAATATAAAATTGTATTAAATTTTTATGTAATATTCTTGAGATATAACAAATAACAGCTCTAATGTCTGTCTGTCCATCTGCCTGTCCATCTATCTGCCTACCTACCCACCTACTCACCTACCCATCTACCCAACTATCCATGTTTTTGAGAAGAGCTTTTGTAGTAATGATTCCCCTTTACACTAATTTTCAGATATAAAAGCAAGCATGCATTTACTGAAAAACACCTCCCTAGCACTAATTTTTACTGCCCACCTGGCCCGGTTGAATCATGAGCTGAAAGAATTCCCACAGGCTAAAGAGGGAGAAGATTGAAGCAGAGCAAGAGACTTGTTTCGTTGTGGTGTTCAGTTTATCAGGAAAAGTAACTTTTATATTTGTTATTGTTTTCCTAATTCTATCCTTCTAAGGAAAGTAGGGGGGAAAGAACATAGAAGAAATACAGCTGAAGTCCCCTCATTCTAATGTGGAAATGAGGGTAGAAAGGTTTGGCCAAAGGCCTCTGTGAAGGGAGCCAGGCTGTATATGTGACTCTTGTGAATGTCAGCTGAACATCTATTCCTTCAGGTCATTATTTTTCTGGTGTTTGACCTGGTCTCCCCTATCAAAAGGACTCTATTGCTCCCACACTGTACATCTTTTAACTACTTTTCCTGGGAATCCTGGATTTGGCCAAGAATCTTTCAGATTGTTTCCCTAACAGATCCTAAGGAACTTGGTGAAAGCTCAGCCCTTTGGCAGATGCTTCAGGAACTGAAGGCATTTTCTGCTGAAATCCTGGTGACTCCTCATCTAATTTTTTGACTCTTCAGCCTGAGCACTCAGCCCTCCAGACCTGCTAAGCTTTTTTGAGTATTTTGTTGAGCTAAGCAGAGCCTTTTGTGAGAGAACAGGGGGTAATGGTTTTAAGCTGAAGGAGAGTCAATTTAGATTAGACATAAGGAAGATGTTTTTTACAATGAAGGTGGTAAGACACTGCCACAGGTGGCCCAGAGAGCTGGTGGCTGCCCCATCCTGGTAAACAGTCAAAGTCAGGCTGAATGGGGCTCTGAGCAACCTGATTTGGTTGATGATATCCCTGCTCATTGCAGGGGGGTTGAACTAGATGACTTTTAAAGGTCCTTTCCAACTGCAACGATTCCAGGATTCTGGGATTGTTTATCCAGCCACCACCAAGAGCTATAAGTGTCACATTCTAGACTCAACAGCTCCTCTTCCCAAAGGAAAACAGTCTCACACAGTAACACTGAGAATTTCTGTGCCAAGCAGATAGAGAAATAGCAATTTGTATAGCTTTGGCTTCTTTCTCATTACTTGTTCCACCTATTTTACATTTCATTTACAAATGACTTCTAATGCTTGTAAATAAGCTGAAGCAATGGAAAGCCTTGATATCTATGGCTAGACCCACACACCTTCATGGACAGTATGAAAACCTCATTTAAATGTGAGGAGTCTGTTGAGTATTGACAAGGAAAAAAGACATGCAATTCACTGACAACTGTGCAGTCAAAAGCATTAAAACTTAACAGGTTGAGGTGGAACTCTTTCAGTGCTTTTTTTCAAGGACCTTGGTGGTGAGGGATAATCTTATACTCACCTTTGCCTTCTCACATCAACTTTTCCAGAAGCATGTTTCCTCCAGGACTTCATGCCAGAAACAACTGTGGCTTCATAAGAGTGTTGAAATGCTTAGTGGGACAAAAGCAGAAATCAAACTGAGTGTGGATCAGCAGATCCATAAGCATAAATACTGCTTAAAATAAGGAATCAAAACTTGTCTAAAAAATCACATGGATGTCCACAGTAATGCCATGATGAACTGCTATTTAAACTGGAGACACAATCAAGGCCTTGATGACTGGCATGAAACAGCAGTGATGAATCAAAGACATGGGTGACAGAGAAAGTGGAAAGTGGAGCTGCAGTAGCCCCAAATGGGTGTGTGGAGGCATGAAGGGAATGCAGGGTGTGATGGTTTCAGTCTAGGCCTTCATGGAGACCAGCTTGTAACCAGGAAGGAACTAGGAAAGTGACAAAGGAAGTATTCCATGCTATTCCTTTACGTAACCTGGGGTATAAATAAGGCATAGATAAGAGAGCTTGCTCTCTTCCTTTCCGGCGAGGTTCGAGAACAGTGGGTCCCTGTCTTGGTCTGGCTTATCTGGAGCTGAGGCCTACAGTGACTGCTGTTGTCTGCCACGTGTGAGGGGAGAGTGCTGGGCCGCATCCAGACGTCCTGCTTCTCTCAAGGGAAGTGGTGAGATTTTGCCAGTTCTTTAGTCTGCTGGTTACCGGGTTTTTAGATTGTGTAGGCCTGTTTTGTTTTTGTCCCTTTTCGTCCTATTTTGTCCTTTTTCCCTTCTCCCTTCCCCTCTTCCCTTTGGGAAGCTATTTAGGGTTTCTGGGATTATAGATATATATATAATACTCTCACTGTATATATCTGTTTTATATGTAAAATATATATTTTTGCTAGAACTTTGGCTGCTTGATTTTTTTCTTCCCTCTCTGGGAAGCAGACCCTGTTGTCAAGTTTTGGAGACTTGGCAGGAAGCCAGCTCGAAACTTGCACAACATTTTGGTGGCAGCGGTGGGATGAGGTGTGGGAGGGGGGCTAAGAATCAGGAATTGGATTTTGTGGCTCTGAAACCATGACAAGGGGCAGATGTTCCATTGAGATATCACTGGGTGGTGGAGAAGGATGTCATCATTGAGTGGTGGATTGTGACATCACATCCCTCACTGCTAATGTTTGGGCACCAGCAGAGCTGGTCTAGCTCAAGCCTGGACTTCAGCTGAGCGTGCCTGCACATGGGAGCAACTCCTGATCCTCAGCTCTCCCCCACCTGCTACAGCAAGTAGACATGGCCACAGGGACAAACTGGAGCTGCCCCATCTGTCACAACACTCGGAATGATGTGGCTTCTGCTCTGCCTTGCCATGACCAATTCTGCCTGAGCTGCATCCTGCGGTGGGCAAAAACAAATCCAGGGTGCCCACTCTGCAGCAGACCTATAGAGATTGTCAGATTTTCTGAGCGGAGTGAACGGGACTATCTACAGTTTGCCATCACAGCTCCAGAAGAGACAAGAGAGAACAGTAGCCAGGCAGGGAGTGCTCCTTTCCACCTCGCTGAAAACAGGTCCGATGACCCCATGGTGTCCCCTCTGTCTTCTCCAGAGGGGACATTGTCCCCATCTGAGCAGAGGTCTGCAGGGCCAGAGTTCATGGGTGGCCTTCTGCCTGAGGTCTGGGCAGAACTTTTCCAAAGGCAACAGCAACTGCTGGACCCTGTGCTGCCCTGGTTACGCCAGAGGTTGGCAGCAGTCTATCAGGACCAGTGGTGGCGAGCAGAGGCTGCAGAGGGCTCCATCCTGCATGGCCTCTGTGTCTGCGGTCCAGATGCAGAGGTCTTGGTTGAGGTGCTGGAACCTCTCCTCAATGGGCACACAGCATCGCTTGTCCATGGCATCATTGATGTCATTTCAAGGCAGTGCAGTGAGGAGGCCCAGAGGCTACTGTGCTTCTATCATGCTAGCATCATCTCCAGCAACTCCAGCTGCACTAGCTCCCGGGAGGTGACTCTGGCCAGTGGCCCCACAGGCTCTGACGTGGAGGAGGAAGCTGGTACATCAGAGACCAGCCTTCAAGGGAGTCCCAGCTGCCCCCCATCTATGTCCATGTTCTCAGAGCAGGACCAGCCCCAGGAGGAGCCAGGGCAGGTGGTGGTGGTGCCAGGTCCATCTAGTCAGGGCTTCAGCCCCTCTGCTCCTGGCCAGGGCAGGAGACATTCACCTAGAAAGCCCCGGCGTGGCCGAAAGAGGAGAGCCTCCGGCCTCCGGAATTCTTCCCAGCCCACCAAGAGGCCACCCCGGCAGCGGCACTAACAGGGCTCCAGGAACTCTTCAGCCAAGGAAAAAGAAATAAATTGCTATTTCCCTGACAAAGTTTCTGGGTGCTGCTTTCTCCCCCTTCTGGTGCCTTTCCCTGACCTTCATGCCCCACCATCAGCCAACACCCCCCAGGGCCATTTCATCAGCACCTTCTCACACAGGAAATCCTGCTGCAGCTGTGGTGATGGAAGAGCTTCTGAACAAGCATCAAGTTGATGTTTCCTGCAGCATTGTGAGTGAAAGACTGATCAGGCATTCGTCACGAGAAAAGGAAAAAAATCCAATCGTACCTAACACAATTTCTGCCTAAGGCATTAGTGAAAAACATAGAGTTTGATAATGTACAGTCAGAGGAAAGGTGCCACCTGAAGGCGCAACCAATTGGAGTTCATTTAATCAGTGGGAGGAAAAAGACCTATGCATTAATGTAGAAAGGAGTATTATAAAAAAAGGGCAGGAAGAAAGGGAAAGGTGCATCAAACTGGGGAGAGGAGAAAGAGATAATACCAGATAAAGAGATAATACCAGTAGTGTCCATACTGCTGACGCTAATAATACATATTGATCTTGCAGGTGTGTTTCAAAAAAACTGAATAAACAATGAAATTGAAATGAACCAACCAACCAAAAAACACCTAAACCCAGCAAAAAATATGAGGTTTTTTTTATAAAACTTTGGAAACTGTTTTCAGACACATTAAGTTTGTATTTTGGGTGATCCTTTTGTTGGAGAGTGGGAAGAAATTACTGAAAGCAGTTGAAGGAGAAAGAAGTAATAACATTTAGCACATTGCTTTTTGTTTCTTATGTTTCTTCACAATGCCTACCTGTGCTGGTTTAAAAGTTAACCAGCAAGGGAAAATGAACTCAATTCAAAAGAGAGATTTATAAGTCAGAATAACGATTTATTAAAATAATGCAATAAGTACAATTATACAGACAGACAATTGGTTTTAACCCACAAAACCCAAATGTGTAACTCAGCACCCTGGGGTATGAACAAAAGTGGTGTACCTTGGCCCACCCCCGAGTCCAAAGCAAAGGGAGAGGGGATAAACCTGCTGGTGGGAGAGCTGCTGCAGTCTGGTCAGAAGTGATGATTGCAGTCCAGTCGAGGGTGGTGGTCTCAGTCTGGTTGAAGGCGGTGGTCTCAGTCTTCCTCTGGATCCCACGAGAGGTGGCAAGGTTCTGAAACTCCCAGTTATATACTCTCCAGTTCAGGCGGGAGTGCTCAGTCCCTCCCTCAGAGTAGGGAATTCCATAAAAGGGGATCAGAGCGGGGAATTCCATAAAAGGGTATAGGAACATCTTCCCACCTTGCAGGTCTCTACTGACAACAGTTTCTGGGAAATGGCATGGACGGCTATAGAATACACAGTTTTGGGTTGCACCCATCCAGTGATGAATTGGTCCCAGCCGTTCTAACCACGACACTACCACAGGTCATTCAGGCCACAGAGAAGGCTGGCCGGTGTGACAAAGTGAGAAGCTTGCAGCTTTGCCACCTCCCTGTACCAAGCAGCAAGCACTGTGACAGAACAGGCAGTCACTGTCCTGCCGTGTGCTCCTGGCAGGGAGCCTGTGCTGACTTCCCCGACCAAGTGAGTGCTGTGCACTCCACAGTCATCCTGTGAGATGCATCTGAGCATCTCACGAGAGCCTGGATGTCAAGAATGTGCTCCCAAGAGGAGAGAGAGGTGCTCAGCTGGCCAACCAGCACGCCTTCATCAAGGAAAAGTCCCACTGGAACAACCTGGTGGCCCTCTACAGTGGAATGACTACACCAGTGGACAAGGGAAAGGTTACAAATGTCATCTCTCTGGAGTTCTGTAAGGCCTTTGACACTGTCACCCACAACTTCCTTTGCTCTGAATGGGAGAAAGACAGATTTATTTGATGGGTGGACTTTTCAGTGGATGAGGAATTGGTTGGACAGGCACATCCAGAGGGTAGTGGTCAATGTCTTAGTTTCACAATGGACATTGGTGACAAGTGATGTCCCTCAGGAGTCCCTACTGGGACCAGTGCTATTTAATACTTTCATCGAGGGCATAGTGGGATCGAGCCCACCCTCAGCAAGTTTGCAGGTGACAACAAGCTGAGCAGTTGATCCGTCTGAGGAATGGGATGCCGTTCAGAGGGACCTGGACAAGCTCAAGAAGGGGCCCATGGGAACCTCATCAGGTTCAACAAAGCTGTGATTGCAGTCCAGAAAGCCAACTGTGTCCTGGGCTGCATCCCCAGTGGTGTGGGCAGCAGGATGATGGGGGTGATTCTGCCCCTCTGCTCTGCTCTGGTGAGACCCTATTTGGGACACTGCACCCAGCTCTGGGGCCCCAAGCACAGGAAGGACATTGACCTATTGGAGCAAGTCCAGAGGAGGCCACTAAGATGATCAGAAGACTAGAGCACCTCTGCTGTGAGGAACAGCTGAGAGAATTGCTCTTGTTCAGTCTGGAGAAGAGAAGCCTCTGGCAGACCTTAGAGCTCCTTCTAGTTCCTAAAGGGTTACAAGAGAACTGGAGAGGGACTTTTAACAAAGACATGTAGTGATAGAATAAGGGGAACTGAGAGAGGGCAGGTTTAGATTAGATGTTAGGAAGAAATTCTTTACTGTAAGGGTGGTGAGACACTGGCACAGGTTGCCCAAAGAAGCTGTGGCTGTCCCTTCCCTGGGAGTGTTCAAGGCCAGATTGGACAGGGCTTGGAGCAACCTAGTCTAGTGGAAGATGTCCCTTTCCATGGCAGAAGGGTTGGAACAAAAAGGTCTTTAACATCCCTTCAATCCCAAACTATTCTATTATTCAAAGCATTCTATGACTCTATGATTTCAGGTAAACCAAGTGGCTTTACTCACATTGGTGACCTGTGGTGTTTATTGCATGTTTCACCCTTCAGGCCAGCAGTTCTTCAAGAGACATAAAAATAAAGTTCCCCTTTAAAAATCTCACAAGATATTGTAGAGCTCCATGTTTTTAACAATTTGTTTTACTAGAATAGTAAAACACTAGTGTTGTGCATGACAACATAGTACCTTATCAGGATCACCTATTGTGGAAGACCAGGCACAAGCACATTTTGTCTCAAATGTTCTGACTGTTGGAACAGGAAAACTGTAATTGGAAGAGAGGGTTCTGAGGAGGTGGGCAGTGCTGTGCTGAGCCAACTTCCTTTTCTGCCTTGAGAATTGTACTCAGTGTGCCTGCATCAACTCGCATCCTCTACTCACTTCTTGGAGGGCTCAAAAGGGCTGACTGCAAAAGTCCAAACAGTATGGCACGAACAGCTTGAAAAATCTCTTTTGTATAAGGTGTGCACCAAGTAAACCATAAAAGGAAGTGGATAAGTCTCCCTAGCTCTTTTTCTCACGCTTTATTTTCTAACTCAGATGAGCATAGGAGTTCACAGACACGTGGTCTGGTGCTTTATTCAGCTTAACAAGAATTTATAAGGAACATCGTGCCCTCTGTTGAGTTGTTGTGACACCAGGGACTTGGAAAACAGCACAGGAGTGAAATTATATATCAATATATTTAAATTATATTAATGAATAATTGCATTCAATATCCAGTGTAGTTGCGTATATTTGAAAGCCTGTCATTTTCCCAATTTACTGCATGGCTAACAACCAGCAGGTTGTAGGCTTACAGGATAAAAAACCACACCTCAGCCTTGCTGCAAACTGAGTCTCAGGAAATAAATTCATATAGCTTCTTCCTCACAAGTTCACCACAAAACAAGGTGGGACATGGGCCTCCAAAGTTTAGGATTGTAAAAAAAAAAGTGGGCAAAGCCAAGCAACAAAACAGCTGCACACACATCAGCCTGCTGCTGCAAGGCTCTGGCATGTCCAAGAAGCCTTTTGGGCCTGTGACACACCTCTGGGAGCTTCCCTGGGCACATCTGTGAGCCACAGAGAACTGCCTAGTATTGATGTAGAGAAAGAATGAAAAGAAACTTAAAAGGGGTTGTGGGACAACTTGGAAGGTGGAGCTAGGAGGAAACCAGTGGGCCAAAATGGGAGAGTCCCTTCAGAACTGGGAGCTGTGAGGCAGAGACCAAATAGCTCAGGTGGTGGGAAGGCTCCAGGAAGGCAGGCTTAGGAAACCAGCAAAATCCCAACCATTCCAAAGTTTGGAAGCATCCTTCCCTCACCTCTCACTCTGAAAGCAGTTTTTCTCTCCCACATAAAAAGAGAGGGCTGAGGATTGATGGCAGCTTGTCTCACCTGAAGAGCTGAGAGGCTTTTGCCCCTGCTGCTGTGCTACAGGCGGACTGAGCACCATTGCTCAACACAGAGACACCCAGAGGGACCAAAAGCAATTCCATTGGTGCTCCTGAAACTCCAAGGTCAAAAATCTCTATATGAAAAGGGAATTGTATGGCGACAAGTAACAAATAAACATTTACTGACTTTATGAATTCGCTAAAGAAAATGAAGTTACTTATCATATGAACACTCTTAGCTAATTAAATGAGATTAAATAATTTTTTTAAATGTATCACTTAATATGCCCAGATAGTCATTTACTTTGAAAGAAAAGCAGACTGCTGCAAAAACATACCACTGATAAGACCTCATTTAAGCAAGGCTTCCACAGTTTTCTGTCTGTAAACCATGATTAATTCATACAATTAACACTTTTTTTAAAAAAAAAATCTGACTTTACACAGCAGTTTGCTTGAGTCCTGTGATATTTCCACTATCAAATCAAAGCTGGCTTTCTGCTCTTTAACAATTACACTCTATTTTTTCAACAAGACAAGAAAATCAAGTTTTTCACATCTTACAAAATCTTTTAAGGTGTTGGTTTAAGTGCACTGTGGGTTTTTTTGTGGTTTTTTTTGTTTGTTTGTTTTGTTGTTTGTTTTTTTTTTTTAATTCTAGGTTTATATCCAAAATTAGTCATTGTTGCTAACCATTCTGTATGTGCAAAATGCCTTCTGAGCAAACTCTATTAATTGTGCCTAATTACTGCAGGCAACCAATCTTGCTTTCTGCATGTGGCTCCTGTACAGCACAAAGTCCAAGCTCTGAAGTTCTACTTGA